CCCCCACAAACAAGCAAGCCAACCATGTATGCTAAAGCCACTGCTCGAGAAGGTTGGGCAAAGGTTGAGAAACACTGACCCATGGTATGTTCCAAACCTGATTGTATGTAAGGCTGTTCTTCCAAACTGTTTTTCCAAGGACATAAATGAAGGCACTTGTTTACTCAGCCCTGGTCTTAACAATGTCTGGGACAGACAGGAGAAGAAACAGCTCCTCTGTCTTTGGTGGATCTATTCAGGAAGTTTAAGGATGCATGTTAATGCATCATATAACATCAATGTTTCATATAGCAAACTCTACTCCTTTAGTGGCTGAATGGAAAGTTTAGTGAAAGGGAACTGAAGTGTTCTTTAAATGCATTATAGGCATGTTATCCCTTCCAAAGGCTTAACATACCTATTTTACCCATCCTCTCCCAAAACTGGAGGGGCAAAAATGGAATTAAGGCTACATGACCATCTTTGATTGAGGAAAATAAAACAGTTTGTTTACCTGAGTTCAGCAAAACTTCTTACAGTACTTTTTTGTTGTTGTTCATATTTAATTCTAAGCCCTTCATATTGGTTGCTATATCATTTTTGTCAATTTTTAAAAACTTAATTATACTACTACAATCAGTGTAATATTGCTAACTGAATAACGTCTCTATTTCAGCAAAAGATACAGCAGAATTAGGTGAGTTACAAAGATCCTGCTGTCTTTGAAATTAAATGTGAAGTCCTTGCAATCTCATCATTTTTGTTTGTTTGATTTATATTGCAGATTTCAGGAGGGCATCATCCAATGCAGGTATATTTATTTGTGAATATAAGACCTCTAGTAACTGAATACTACCCAAAAGTATAAAGAATCCATATTAAAAATGCATCTAGCAGCTAACGAGGAAAGTGCTTATGAGAAATAAAGAAATGCATATTGCAGGATAAGGAGAGGAAAGAAAATAATTAAACACTCCGTACTCCCTTTAAATGGTTAGTAGTCACCCCATCAGATGCTGTTTGCATAAACAAAAATTAAATACAAAGGTTAATTTCACATCACATCTAATTTGGCCCTAATTCCAGTCATAAATTACACTAGAACTCCATTATTCTCAGAGTCCCTGCAGACATAGCCAATATTTCAGTTAAGAAAAAAAGTAAGCATAAACTTGTTCCCCCAATTGAAGTGAAAGAAAAATGTTTGCTTGGAAAAGCTCCATATGCTCTCCATTTATAAAGGAAATTGTGGGATCAAGGTCTTTATTAAGGCTGGGTTCAGACAGCTGTTTTCATTTTTAAAAATAATGGTGGTTCCAGCCTTACATTGAATTAGAACAGTGATCCTAGATTGAAATTATTTTTAAACAAAAACCTGTTTGAGCAAGTCCAAATAAAAAGGATCTTAATATGAAGAAATAATGAAATACTTTTCATTTGAAATATCATTTTATTTATTTGCCACTTTAAGATTATGTGCAAATGGGTTTGGAGGTCCTGTGAGGCCAGTAGGCAAGATATTGACCACACTTGTTTTAAATGAGCAGTTAATGTAATAATTCAAACACAGAATAGGAAAAGTAACAAGTGATCAGTGACAATAAATATAAAAAGTTTGCTTTCAGAATTCAGTATTAATTATGATAATTTTGTTCATAAGTTTAGGACATGCAAAGTTTGAGACATGCTAATGGCTGAAAATAAGTTTTAAAATTCTAAGATTCTTAAAAAAACATAGCAGTCTAAGTCATTCTGATTAGGTGAATTTATAAAATCTCTTTTTAAATGTACATATTTCTAGACTTTTATTTGTTGGAAACAAAAGTTAGCAAAATGCATGTTTAGAGGTTATTAGTAAAGAATAGCTGGTTATTGTTAATATTGTTCTCATTTTTACAAAATATAAAAACAATTTGAACTTCAGGTTATAATATAAATTGTACATGATGTTTAATAATCATTTTCTGGGGGAGAATGAAAAATACTGACATATTGTTTTAAATACAGTTTACTAACTGTGGAGTCCTTGGGGTTCTCTGAGCTTGGTTGTTTTTTTGCAGACATTTCATTGCCCAGCTAGGTAACATCTTCAGTGCAGTGAAGATATTACCTAGCCAGGTAATGAAACATCTGCAAGAATACAACCAAGCTCAGAGAACCCCAAGGACTCCACAGTTCAACCCTGAGCTACATATATTCTCTTCTACTAGTTTACTAACTTGCAGGGATTTCTATGTGGAATTAATGTGTTAGAGAATTGTGGCACGCTTTCTTTCTATCAATGATATTATTCTGTTTTCCTATTCTCTAGTCAATCTCACTTTGGATCCTAAATGCACACATGCCAAGCTCAACATTAAAGACAAAAATAAAGTCAGGTTGAATCCGTCTGACTCAGGATTAAAGGATCTTAAAGGAACTCCAATTGCAGTGGCAAATGAAGGATTTGATGAAGATAAAAAGTACTGGGAGGTGGAGGTTGGACAAAAACCGGACTGGGAGCTGGGAGTACTTTCTGAGAAGGCAAGAAAGAAACTAGAACAAGAAAAGCTAGAAAAACAACTGGAAGATGATTATGTGTCTATGAGATGGTTCCAAGGTCAATATCATTGCTCTGGAGGAAACAGTTTAATCAGCAGTGAAAATAAAGAATGTAAAGTTGTAGGTGTTTATCTAATAATGGATGGAGAAGAGCAAATGCTCTCATTTTTTGACGTTGAGCAGATGAATCTTATTCGGTCCATCCCTGCCAAATTTTCTGAGAAAATGTTTCCATTTTTCAATCCTGGGAAGGATGAGGGGTATTTGGGAGTGCGCCCAGTGAATATTCCTCCATGTTTAGAATCCCTTTGATATTATGCTTCAGACCCCTTCGACACTTTGTTTGCTTTTTATCAGTTTTGTGTATGGACTGATTTAAACTTGCCATTGCCTTCCTTGATTTCTTTCTCCTACCCTTGATGACTCATAGTTGAAAAGTGTTGTTTTTGAAGTAAGGTGAGATGTTTGATGTTTGGGTCCTGATGGGCCTGAAGATGATGTGATGTTCCAGCCATCCAGTGAGGATTGTACATTAGGAGCTATCCCTTAGTGACCAATGAGGAAGCTTGTTAATGGAAGAAAAAGATCTTGACATAGTTTTAATTTTACATGTTAATTTTGAAACATAATATAAGGATTTAAAAAACACTCAGGAGTCTGAGTCTCTCACTCTCTCTCTCTCTCTCTCTCTCGACTGAAAAAGCAAAATATTCTTCAAATTCAAAATGATGGTATAAAGTATTCTGTCCATTCTGGAAGTTGTACTTCCAAAAATCTGGCTTGTAACACCAATGGAATAGGATTGTGGGCAGATTTGAAATGAAATAAGGAAATATACTACTATGAAATAAAATGTTTCAGAAGCTTCTTCATATGAATACATTAAGCCTTTACACAATCTGCATTCATCAACCACAAAGGAAAACATGTATGTCTGTATTTTGTACCTTCTACTTCATCATGTACCATTCTTTTCCACTCCTGGAAGTTAACTCCTGGAGTTAACAGGCCTGGAGAGGGGCACCAGCTGGAACTGAAGGGAACACTTGATAGTGAGCAAGCTCCTTGCTAGACTACCGGTGCATGCACAGCCCTGCTGTCACTGCAAGCGTGCCTTGTACTACCCATAGGCAAAATGGAACGCAAGTAGATAAAATTATGTTTCTCTGCCAATTGAATTAATAAAAACAGTTAAAAATGCAGCCATGCTACATCCCTTGTCAGCAGAAGCAGCAGGAAACTTGTAATACATTCATAGTTGAAAAAGAAATAGAAACACACAGGTGACAGGACATGACTCTCTTTCCTAGTTGAAATAAACCTTCTCTGCTGCTCAGAATTAGCATTTTCTGCAAAGAGCATTAGTCCTGCTATTAAAGAGTGCTAAATTTGTTTATGTAAATTTTGCCTAACCTGTGATTAAAGGATGCTAAACCTGTATTTAAGAGACAGGACTTTCAAAAGAGTGCTAAACCCATCTACTGTATATAAGGAGTCCATGGAAAGATCTGACATGTGTTTCAAAAAGCACCAATTCTGTAGCTCAGGTGAAAAGCTCCATGGAAGGTTGTATCCAGTGACCTAAGAGGAAGGGGCATGTTTGCAGAAGCTTAAAATAGCTAATCCCAATCCCTGGCTATTTCATAAGCCATATTGTTGAAACAAATTAGAGTGTTACCCATGGCAAAAAATGGTGTCAGGAGAAAGAGAAACCAAGACTTTCAAACTAGAAACCTGCCTCAGCTGTGGGGTGAGGATGAGACAAAGACAATATCATGAGATGCCCACCATGTTCAGTGTGCAGTTAGGGGCGAGTAAGAGGAAGAATGGAAAGAAGAAATGAGGAAAGGAAGTAGGAAGAAACCAAATAAATGAAAGAAATATATATGAGAGCAAGTGGAAGGAGCAAAAAGTGAGGAAAAAGGGATGTTACTTGGGAAGATTTTAAAAGATAACCACCCAATTACATGTAGAATAAAACTATTAACCTATATAATCAAATCGTGGCTATTTGTTACCTCCATGATTAGAGGCACTTTGTCTCTGAGTACCCCTTTTGAAACCCACAGTGGAACAGGACCAAACTGGTTACTTTCCATGGGTCTCTAGATGGCCATCATGAGGAAAAGGATGGATTCAATAGGCCTTTGGTCTGATTCATCAGGACATTTCATTTTCTTAAAACTGAAATAACTGAGACACTGGGTTGGTGAGAAGGAATTCAGAATTTTGAAGGTGTGGCAGTGAAGGAAGAAGGATTGGCTTAGCTGAGCACAACTGAAGAGAAAGTACTACAAAAGTTAATAATTGAAAGGGAACAAAGGTCCAATATATAGGACAAGGTTCTATTCCTTCATTCTGCATTTTAACACTTAATGTAAGGTTGACATTTGCTATTTTGTTGTGAGAAAGAACAGTGACATGTAAATGCACTTGGCTGGGTGCAAAGAACAAGTGCTGTTCTGTATATATTTTAGGCATGTGAAAATAGTTCTGCAAAAATTCACATCATTCTTATTTTTAATCCTCCAGGGTAGCTTTACAAAAATGTCTATGTAGTGCCCAAAGCCTGTAAACTGAATGTGTCATGTAGGCTGAGAACCACAAAATGTGCAAAGTGAGAATAACCCACAAATTTTATAAATAAACCCACTTACCATAAAAACAAGTTTTGCAATGCTTGAAGAAAACATGAAATGGAAGCATAATTAAAGTACAAATGACTGCAGAAAATGCTGGCTTCTATTGAGAATACCTGAATGCTTTTGCACTTGGGCTCGTAAGTACTAAAAGTGCATGTTGGCTTACACATAATGAAGTTATGCCATAGCTTCTTATATGACGATTGCCAAAAGACCCCCCTCCCTCCCCAAATTAAGTTAGCCTGTTCTTGAGTTTTTAGCAGCAGTAGAAACTACTCCTTTTTGAAAAAAAATCAGCAACTTAATTTTTCTATGAAAATAAAGATAATTCCTTACTAATTTATGCTGATCAAGTTGCTATTAAACAACTACAGTGTCAGCTGCAAAGGTGATAATCTTACATAATTTATTTCCAACTTTTAGTTGAGTTGTAAAGAAAAAAGGAACTGGGGCAAGCCTGGATGAGGAAGTATTTTTTCCAGATGGAAAATCCATTCATCTTTGTCCAAGAGGCTCATGAGGGCCTACCATCCCATCTCCAACCTATTATTATTATTGGTCACACAGTCAGACAGATGTTTATACTGGATTTAGCATTTTTATCTACCCATTGAGTCCTTACCAAGGACTTGGGATAGGCAGATGTTGTTGTTTGATGGTGTTAAAGGTATCGCCACAGGATATAAGCCTTTTGCAATTGACTGATGATGATTTTGTCAATGTCGATGGTGTTCATGTCGTGCTCCAGATATTTTGGGATTGCACCTAAGGCACCTATATAACTGTTGGTACTCTCTTTGCTTTCTTTTGCCATAGTCATTCTACTTCTATTTGCAGGTCTTTATATTTTGTGATTTTCTCGAGCTCTTTCTGTTCTATTCTGTTATCTCCAGGTATTCCAATGTCCACTATCCAGACATTTTTTATCTTTCTTATCAACAGTTGTTAAGTCTGGGGTGTTGTGTGGCAGGTGCTTGTTTGTTTGAATTTTAAAGTCCCAGAGTACTTTAGCTCCTTCATTTTCTATTACTTTGTTTTGTGATCTCACCAGTTCTTGCTTACAGGCAAATGGTATTTCTTGAATTATAATAATTACTACTACTACTACTACTACTACAACTACTATTTTGTCATGTCATTTGTTTGTAGTGCGATCTTCTTGCAGCACCTAACTAGGTGGTCCATTGTTTCTTCAGCTTTATTATTATTATTACATTTTTACCCTGACTTTTTATAAATATATATAACTCAAGGTGGCGAACATACCGAATACTCCTGCCTCCTGTTTCCCCCACAACAACAACCCTGTGAGGTGGGTTGGGCTGAGAGAGAGTGACTGGTCCAAGGTCACCCAGCTGGGTTTCATGCCTAAAGGAGGCCTAGAACTCACAGTCTCCTACTTGGTAGGGCAGCACTTTAACCACTACACCGGACTGGCTCTTTATGATCATGACATGCATAGATTTCTTTTCATTGTTTAAAATAACAAAGGCAAATATACCATACTTTTCCAAACAGTTAAAGACAGAAAAGAATTAACCTTAGAATCCTTCATACAAACTGTTAATCAAATAAAATACAACTTCCCTCATTCTAAACCTCTCAATGATAGAAGACATACAGTACTGTAGAAAATATGGAACTATGAAAACCATATTCTTTTTACTTTCTGGAATTAAAAAGATAGCTAGATAACCCTTCCCTTAGCTTTAATTTAGCCAGCTGGACCCATACCTCAGCCTCTAGGGAGTTCATAGCTTTAAATGAATGCTTCTTGCTCATCACCTTCATTTAATAACAATGATAGGTAGAAGATAGTCAGGTTTTGCAAATTTGTTGTCTTAGAGAAACAGCAGATCAAATCAAATTGAAACTATGTTTCTATCTCCATCTGTAAAAAAAAAATACTGCAAACTCTGCTTTATTGTCTTTTATTATGAAAACATTTCTTCAAGGGGAAGAAATGTGCAGTAAACTAAAAGTAGGGAAACAAACAGATTTTTAAAATCTAATGGACGTGTGAATCATACTGTGGAGTACTTTTAATCTAAGTATGAACAGCGCCATCTGCAACAAACTGAGATGATGCCAAAATGATGACATGTGCACAGTGATGTCATTACTTGGTGCCTGCCTTATAGAACATATCTGTGGATCTGATTGCCTCCAGGGATAAGGGAGCAGGAGCAGGGAGAAACTCTAAGTCAACTTCAGCCTTTCCACTCCAGCAAAACATGAAGGGCCAGTGGCAACTTCACTTTAGCTGTTCCTGAGCTATTTTACTTTCTCCAATTGGCAACTTCAGCCTTTCCACTCCAGCAAAACATGAAGGGCCAGTGGCAACTTCACTTTAGCTGTTCCTGAGCTATTTTACTTTCTCCAATTGGCAACTTCAGCCTTTCCACTCCAGCAAAACATGAAGGGCCAGTGGCAACTTCACTTTAGCTGTTCCTGAGCTATTTTACTTTCTCCAATTGGCTGATCTGCAGTAATTTCTGGCTTATTCCTATAGCATTAAGAGAACAGGAGGAAGCAAAGACAAAAGGAAATATTTTTCTCTTATTATTATGGGATAGAAATCCCCATCCCATATCCATCTTTTAGAGACCACTTTTCCTTAGGAAGTGTTTTGCCTCTGTTGCTCTACGCTGTTGGTATCACACAACAAAAGAGCCTTGGCTGCATTTTAGGCACTTGGCAACTGGCTCGCATTTATGACTGTTTGCCAAGTGCCCCACGATCATGTAATCACCATTTGCAATCTTCTCTGCTGGTTTCCCCATTTGAAGCATGAACTTTCGTTTGCCGGATTCTTGTCAGGTTCAGCCCAAAGAACTCCACAAGACAGTACAGTTACAGTTCTATTGCATTGATTAGCTTCCACCTACAAGGCAGAATCTCACCAGACTGAATCTAAACTTCCCAAGCCAGCAAGCAAACACTGCAAATTCCTTAGGGTGGTGCCAGCCTCATCCTCTTCACCTTCCCACGCTCATTCTGGGAGTTAAGGAAATGCTTATCTCCCCAAGTGCGGCCTTCGCCATACCATTCCATCACAGTTCTTCAGGATTTGAACTTCATTTCTTCATTCCACTGAGTGGGGAAGGGAAACCTCTTGGTGGTATGAAGGAATGGAGCTCAAAACCTGAAGATTTGAGGTCCATTCCTCCAACCACTGGAAGGTTTTCCCCTCTGTCCATGAAGAGGGTAAAACTTTTGGTGGGCCTTAGGAACGTTTGAGAGTGAAAGGGCTGCCTGCTGGGAGGATTTCAGCTCTACGCTGAGCTGAAATCCTTCAGCAGACAGCAATTTTGCTCCATCTCCTTAATGACCTAGCAGATCAATTAATGACCACAAGAAGGAGTGCCCGGATTGTGGTCATCGAGTGAAGCAGTCACGTGGGCATCTTGCTTAAAGACTGCTTCGCTCCTCAACTGAGATTCCAGCCCCAGTTGTGGTCATTAGGCAAGGACTACTTATATGTCTGTGTGCATTTTTTTCTATTTTTCCCAGGCAATTACAATTTAAAAAATGAAATATTTTTGTAAATGTGAAAAACATTGGAGTACATTTTGAAAACACCACAAAATTAATATGTGAAGGGACAAAGAAGCTTGGCCCAATTCAGAGTAACTTTCCATTTTTAGAAGTTGACAAAAATGATAAAATGATAAAAAATAAAGTCCAGAAGAAGTAAAAATTATTGATAGTAATGGCATTTCAAGTTCAGAAAATAAGACTGATTAGACAAGGTTTCATGTAGTAGAATCTGATGGTAAAAAGATAATGTGGTCTTTAATAAGTTCTGCTCCTGAGAGACCAGGTTGTGAGTGCCTATATGTTTATGTGGCTGTAGAGTTAGGGTTTCAAATCATGCTGGGGCAATGTCCATCCTGCTACCCAGCAGGATCCTTCCCTGGGCTGCTGGACACCCCACTTCTTCGTATGGGAGACTTCAACTTCCATTATTTGGGGGTTGGTTCTGGTAGGGTCCAGGGCTTCCAAGACTTCTATTACTTGCCTCAAGTAATTTTGGCCCAGTTCATGTAGGCTATACACTGAGTCTCATTTTTGGCCCTGAGCATTATGTGATTTAGATATGGAGGGGATTTACATCACCTTTTGCTGTGGTCCGATCATGTCAATATTCACATGCAACTGACCGCCACCTGTGACCTCCATAGGACATGTAGAACTATTTTGATAGTTCACTATAGGCACCTAATGGATCCAAATGGCTTTCAGAGGATGCCTGGGGAGTTTCCCAGCTCTCTAGAAGGCAATTTATTTCACTACCTTGTGAGCCACTGGCAAAGGGAGACAAACTGAGCACAGGACATGATTGCCTCCTAACAGACCCTTTCTGCTGGCTAATTCCAGTTGACCCCTTGGTTACTGAGGACCTCTAAGAAATGAAGTGACAAAAACCGTAACTACAGAGCTGGTGAAGCAAGAGAGAAAGTGACTCTGAGCATGCACAAATACATGGCCACATTTGGGCTACATCCTGGTGATTAGGGAGGCCAAGTGCCATCACTTCTCTTTCCTTATTGTATTGATGGGCTGTCATCCAGCAGCCTTGTTTAGGGTGACTAATTCCCTTTTAGGGAGAAGTCACTTCAAAATCTCTCACCTGGCCTCTGACCAATTTATACAGCATTTTGAGGATAAAGTCACTTAAATCATTAGTCCTCATGGGTAGTCTTTGGTGGTGACTAAGATCCATCTGGCCATATTATCTGGGACACCTTTTGACCTGTGAATTCTCAGGAAATGAATTCGGTGATGTTCTGGTATGTGGGAATGACCTTGGGTGACTGGACCCAGAGACGCTGCCTAGGGAATGGTCAGATAAGAAGCAAGCCTGCGGCTGGGTAACGGGTGGGGCAAGAGGCTGAGAAGGAGCCCTCCATAATTTCTCAGGGTGTAAAGGAGACAGGGGGAGAATTGTACTTTCAGACTTGCAAGATTGATGTCAGCCTTATCAGGAAGACCAGACATGAAACACAACCAGATGAGTTAATGCAACTTTATTGTAAGGCTACATTAACAGAATCTTGCAAATCTGAAAGTACAATTACAGGTGCTCTATAGACTTTCTGCCTCTTGAAGACTAGATCCATGCTCCTCCTTAGGAGGAGGGAGTAGAGTGACCACCTGAATTTGGGAGATTGTAAACACTCTTTATAGGAGGGGCTCTGGTGCTCCCCATGTTGAAGAGGCTGTCCCTGGATTTTAGACAACTATTTCTGGTCTCCAATCTTCCATTTCTGGGAAAAGTTGTTGAGGCAGTGATGGCCAAACAGCTACATAGAACTCTACACAAAGTGTGTTATCTGGACCATTTTCAGTCCAGATTCAGGCCTGGTGTAGTGGGGAACAGCTGCCCTTTAAATCAAACGCCAGCCTCATGTGCCCAGAGGGAGGTTTCTGGCAGGAAGAGTTTTGTGTGTGTTTGGTGAGGAAGGTGGCCAGAGTCCTGAATGAGAGGGTTACCTCAGGCAAAGTTGAAAATTGCATTAGTTTTTTGTTTGTTTGTTTTGTATTTAAACTACATGTGTGTGTGTAAACTTATTTTCTTTTAATTAAAACTATAATAAAGTTTACTTTTTATTTCAATCCTTAAATTGACCTGGTTGCCTTCTGTCACTTGCCTCAGCTTGGCTGAGCTACAGACTCCCAAAGTGTTTGTTATGGTTTCTCATCTGTATTTAGCCAGACCTGGGCTGGGGTGAGGGTTTCCTCTTCAATCCTCTCCTGGTTCCCCAGAGGGCTTGTAGTGAATGGGTGGTGGCAGCAAGATGCCTAATTTTCCAGTTGCTCTTCACCCACAGGAGTGGTTACCTCAGAACTGAAGAACCTCAGACGAGGGACCGGATTAACCCTGAAGGTGCCTTTTTTCCTCATTGCACCTGGGTATGGGACTGAAATGACATTGATCACTCTGTTAGCAATAATATGTCTTTATTGTTTTTATATTATGTGTTACACAGTATAAACATATGAATTTTATTGAGCCATGCAATGGAAAGTTACACAAAAATACATAATGAAGACATAAACTATTCCTTTTCTTCCTGGGGCTGATCTGTGTATGAGTAATAAGATTCCAAGCTGGCTTGTCTCTCTGAGGGTTGGAAGATCTAAGAAAGAGCTCTAGCTATCCTGAAAGGGCTCAGGTTATGACAGAACATGTGAACACATAATTTTTCATTATAAACCAAAGCAAAAGATCCACTCGGATGAATCTTTCTGGAGTTTTTGATGCTGTACTAATTATTATACTTTATTTCTGGTACTGTATGCTAACGTACAGTACATCTTAGAGAAATCTAATGAAGCTCTTCTCACTTTTTAAAAAACTTTTGAAAGGGAAGTGGGATTTTCATATGGATAACTTCTAATGCATCTTGAACACAACCTAGGTCACACTCACCAAAACTTAAAAATGGGTACAATTTCTCAGTTGACTGAATGGTAATTGTGGTTATAAGGAGTGGTGCACACGTACAGGCCCTATAGAAGTATATTGTTCCTGATTCTTGATCCAGAAACAAGCCAATATACGAATAAGGGTTATCTTGCTTTTTTTCAATCTTTTCCTCATTTTGATTAGAAAACAAATGTCCTCTGACACTTTTCAGTGCCCAGCGTTCTTCTCCAAGGGGGACAGAAAACATCTCTTTTCTGGTTCTATCCCTTTCACCCTGAGTCAGCACCCCCAGCTCCCAGTCCAGCCAGTCCCCCACCTTTACCTCCCAGTAATGCTTCCCAGCAACATAACCCTCTTTCCCCACAACCACTAGAGAACCGACAGCAGATTTTGCATTAAGGGTGGCTGCTCTCCCATCTTTGGTGATGGTGATGTCTGGATGCTTGCAGTCTGAATCCAAATAAACTGCAACTATGGGTAAGAAGGAAAAAACAATGACAGACAAAAATTGCTTTTCAAGAAGTAAATACGTTAGTTGGCTTCACCATAAATGTTTCATTTTATAAATGGCTTGATTGCATCCCTGGTATGATCTAGATATACATTTTATTGCTCATAGTCAAAAGCACCAAAACTGGAGCTAAAACCACAGTGTCCCAAAACAATCGTTAATTTTAACAACATATATAAGGCATTCTGGATACATCATCTTTTGTTTGTACAATGGTCCTACTAATAAGATTATAATGCCATCAACTGAATCGAGACTTTCCTGCACTGGTATTTCTACAGGAAGGAAGTTGGGACAAAGTCATCATCCTTTCATTTCTCTCTCTCTTCTGGACAGAAGTTTATTGTATATGTTAGAACAAAGTAAGTTATGGAGGGAGACATTATCTTGGGATGCATTTAATCAGGTCTCAATAACTCAGCATTTCATGCTTGTGTGAATTAGATCTGACCATGACAGCCTCTTACCTGCATGACTTTGAGCTCTTCTAAGCGCTATGAAAATAAAAGAAAACAAAATCAATCAGTAGCTGGTCATAGTAAAATAAATAAACAATATCCAAATGTATTCTGAGATATTTTGGCAAAGAAAGAAAGATGGCTTGAAGGAATAAAGATCAGGCTCACTGTGCTTTGTAACAGTATAAAAATATTATATAATGCTTAAAACTCATCCTAATAGCATCTGTGGGACAATTTGACTTGATTAGAGATCTTCCAGGAGGACTCTATATTTTAATTCAAAACTGAATTTTTACATTTTGGCATTCATTTTCTGAACACTTCCTTCCTCGTAAAATAATAATATATACTTCAGGTTTATGAAATTTGATACACCTGATGTGTTGGGTCATCTTCAGGGGCATTCCAAATTTGGTGAAGACTAATACAGACTTTCCTCAGACTAAAGCAAGGTTAGATTAATTACACATAACAACATCATGCAAACACAGTTAAAGAGAGAGAGAAGGATGGGTACAAAATCAGTTTCTGATGAAGTTACACTTCAGTTTGACCCTATGGATACAAGCCTCGCCTCGCCTCGCCTCGCCTCGCCTCGCCTCTAGGTTGCTTCCATCATTCCATATACAGCTTCCGTGGCAGGCTGTCTTGGGATGATGGGAGGACTATGTTGGGGGAAGGCTGCTCTAACAACAGAACAAAATGTACAAAACTCTGGTTTGAAAAAAGTAAGGGTGTTATGTAGCTTACAAAGTTGATGTGTTAAACTTATATAGACTAAAAAATATTTTTAAAAGATGTATATATTTTAAGATATATAAAGAATCTGGGAGCAAGAAAATCTGAGTGGAGAGGCAATGCTAAATATCAGTATGTTATAGCTGTTCGGGGACGCGGTGGCGCAGCGGCTTAATGACACTGAAAGTTGCCGGCCAGAAATGGTCGACGCTTCAGTGGTTCGAGTCCAGCCTTCGCGTTAACAGGGTGAGCTCCTGTTTCCTCCCCAGTTCCTGTCAACCCAACAGTTTGAAAACTCACGTGAGTAGATAAATGGGTACTCTCACTCCGGTGGGAGGAAAAATGCTGGCGGCGCCTTGCAAAAGGAGTCGGGAGCAGTTGCCGGTAAAACGCGAAACCGCGCTTGCCCAAAAAGGGCGCGAAGCAATGGAAACCCGGCCTCCTGCGCTTGCCAGCTGGGCTCTGCTCTAGGAAGGAGGCTCTGGCAAACCACTTCCGAAACAACTGCCTTGAAAACGGCAAGGACTCGTCCA